ATTTCATTATCAAACTTCCCTTTTTTAATTTTTCAAATTTATTCATTTGCAAATAATAAAAGTTGTATATTTGTGAACGCGAAGCTTCCTTAAGGTCATGAGAATGAAGGTGTGTTGGTATAGATAAATGTATATTAGTCGAGATGCCGCTTCGCGATGCGGTATTAATTAACGAATATATTCAAACATTTTTCTTGTTTTCTTCTTATTTTATTGTAAATGTGTTGCCTAAAGAGCGGCTTTGTAAAATATCAACAAAAACAAAAATGTTTTCATGGAAAATTTTTCTCGTTTCTATAGTTAAAAGAATATTTGTATTTTTTTTAAGTAAATTCCACTTGCATTTTTACGATATCGAGGGTCGATTGGACCTATTAACATCTCCAATATGATTAATTTATTTTTATTAAAAGTTAATTGGTGTTTTGTTTAATAATAAACGCATATAAAGAATCGGCTAATAGACATGATCTTGCGATTAATAAACTGTTGAGATGAACAATATGAGAAAAGTCATAATTTTGAGAATTTGGCGATATTCTGCAGCTGGTTGTTCGCTTCAAGCAATTAAAAGTCAACACACATTTAATTACAATACATTTGGTACCCATTCTAACTCATACACTGTATATTTTATAACAATTCGTTATTTATGATTTTTCCACGCTCAATGGGCTTTATTTGAATGTCTGAATATCACGAATTTTGTGTTCTTTGCTACTCCTAAACATATGCGTTTGCAAATTTTTAAACTTTGCTTTTACATTTCGTTGATTTAGCTCGAATTTTTGGATAATGTCTTTTTATATGAGCACGATGTCCCTACAATATAATTTTTTTAAGGAGAATAAGACAGATTTAATTAATCAGATTAGAGAGTATTTTTATAAATCATGAGTTAAAAATACTTTTAATCTCGTGAACGAAGAGTCGAAAAGATCAGGAAATAAAAAGAATGGCCTCACATTCTTCCCCTAATTTGTGTTATAAAGCAGAATTGCTGAGAAACTTCGTAGTGAACAAAACTAATGCGCTCTACATTTGTAAACTTTCATATTAATCTGTCTACTTGTTCGATCTTCTTACGAAGAGAGAGAAATAATAAAACACATGATGTTTCAAAAAGAAGGAATGAAAATAAGAACAGTGTTGGGTTTTGATGTATAATTTGTGGAATTGAAGTTTTCAAGCTGAACAAGTTTCAGGAAAAGATATGACAACTGATTCGAGTATTTTCTGTGAATCTATCAAATGATAATTAATCAAATGATAAGGTTTATAAGAATTCAAGTAGCTTCATATCGTTTTTTTAATTTTCGATTAAACATTTTACGCTACAATAAATCACCAGAAGTTATAAAAAAATAATTCGCAAAATAACAATCTTAAGAGACTCCAACCCGTCACTCAACGTTCTTATATTTTCGCTATACAATGTTAAAACTTAAAAAATCATGGATGTATGTGTGCCTTTAAGTCTCTCATATGCTTTGAAAAATCACCGCAAATTGCTTACATCACCATCAGCCAATCGCCTAACGCTAAAATGACGCTATATTTCTATTAATAGCTCAGTACTACGTTCGTGCACAATCGGTTGTATATGCGAATGTAAGTGTAAACTTAGCAGCCAAACGTACTCAACTCCATTCTTTAACGTATATATCAATACTGTTTTTTGTATAACCATAAACTTTGGTTATCAGTGTGATCGTCGTGTAAATAAAGAAATATTTATAATTGTATTTTCGCGTGTGCCCACGAAGTATTAATTTTACTTTGAATATTTTTGCGGCTTATAATTTTTAGTTTCACATCCGAAGTCAAGACGGTCGCGCATATGTTTTGAAGCGCTCACCCGCCATACAAAAAGCGGATTAATATTGCACCGAAAAAAATATTGATTCAAATGTGCCTTTTTTGTTTGATATTAATTATATAAAAAGTAATTAAGAGATATTGTTGTTATCATTTTTATTATTATTATTATTGAAATAAAATATCGTCAAACCTAAAAAAAGACGGTAAACCAAAAGTTCCCAAAAAGTTTTAAACTCAAATATAGAAAATTATTAACAAGTGTCCTTAACTGCTGTGTACAAGTTTAAATATAATTAAGTGAATATCACAACGAAACAAAATATATTATATTGCTATTAATGTATAAAATGTGAGAAATTGGATTTTAACGCCAATTTTTAACTATTAAAACTGAAAGGAAATTTGATATCAACAAGAGCTGTGAAGATTTTGTTTATTTTTGTAACCCATGAACATATTAAAATCGATAGTAAACTTTATTGTTGTTTAATTAAAAAAATAAAATAAAACGAATTCTTATGTGCAAAATCAAGCCATTAATTGTGGAATATTAAATAAGCAAACGCATTAACAAATTTTGTGGAATAAACCAAGGAGAAAAATTGTGGAAATATCTGATATATTCATCATATCAAAGCATCTTGGACTATTAATCGATAGAATAGTGAAATATCCTCATGGAAAATTTCATCCTAAACACAAAAAATGAATTGAAAATTAATGAAAATTTTGTGCATTCGAAACGAACATTTCATGACTGCTTTTGTGTACTTTAAAAGTGAATATACATTCAGAAGTCAAGAAGAAATCTTACGGATTATAATTTATTTACTTTTTTGTTATTTCGTCGAGAAGCAAAACGGAAACGAAATTTGAGCAGTATTACTGAGAGTTGGTGAGTAGGAAAATTTTTTGCTTATTTTTTATGGACAAATGGAGGCGTTACAATTGATCATAGTTTCTTTTTAGCTTGGTATTATACCTATAAAAATTGTATACGTTAATATTTTGATCCCTATCTTAACTGTAGTTTTTTCTAAGATTTTATGAATGAACTGCCTAGATTTACAGGATTCTCATTTCAAAAACATTTTCTTCAAACACAAAATTATGATCATTTTTTATTGTATTGTTTTCTTACTTGTTACTTGATCTTTGACATCTAAAATTCTCTGAATTTTATTGCAGTTTAATTTTTTTTAAATGTTTATTTTATACTTAAAATACATTTTTAAAAGATCACGATTTTCTTAGTATTTAACAGAATCCATCTCAAAGTCATATCAATATTTAGATTATTTTCAATAAATTAATAGCATATTTCAATCCTACGATTGAGATTATCGAAATAAATTTGATTTTATGCCGACATTTTTGTGATTGGTTTATATTTTATTGCCAAGTTCAATGCTTCTACAGACAAAAATATTTCCAAAATACTCTCTAGCAACAACTTTCGATTTACTCTTAAATATATCTAAGAATTTTATCTAATTGTCGTTCATTTACGCTGAGAATTTCAAGCAAAGTGGTATTTCTTATTAAAAAACAAAGTTGCATAATTCCAAATTGTTTTATTATCTGTTAATGTAATCCGTAATTTTTACTTTCGTGTTCTTGCTACCTCAATAGCTTCCTATCAAAACGAGGATTCATTTGGAATTTACAATCACATATGAATTTAATAAAGAAACATGAACAGTATATTTATTGGCATTTTCGTTGGAATTTTTGTCAGAAAAATTAGTTTGATCAGTAGTAAATACAAATTTGTTGCTAGAAATTCTCATACCAAATAATACTTCAAGCCAAAAATTATCTCAAAATCTATTCAGCTATTAACAATGAGCACATCCCTTAAACAATAGTCATAAATTAAGTAAAAATGACATTAGAAACAATGTTTTTTTTTTTGTAAAACCAGCATTTGTACGTAATTCAGGCTTGTTTTTTCATAAAAAATTTTCATATCTAAACTTAACAGTATTTAATCACCAACATTATCAATATAAGTTCATATGAGATTTCGCCATATTTTAAGACAGAGCGCATGAAACTTAATCTCTTACACTATAATAATCATATACAAACATAAAAAAGCGGCATTTTTAAAATGTTGATTACAAATATTTATGATTATAACACATTATATCCTCATTTGCCCATGAAATGTACTTCGTCGTCTTTAAAGACACATACGTATCATAAACCGATAAGATTGAGTTTAAAAATCTCAAAAATACCGAGAACCATAATCGTCATAAATATCATTGGAAACTCATGGTTAAAAGTTTGATAATTACTTCCCTAGTCATTTAGATATTATTTTAGGCTTGAGTGCTACGCGAATTACGTGAATAAAGGTCTAATGTGCTTTTATAACATTTTGACAAATTAACAAAAGGAAAACTTAATTTTTTACCACAACAACTTAGTTCTAATTCAATTAGACAAAAGATGCTAATTCAAATAGCAAATAGTAGACACTAGAGATGAATTGTATTGAAAACAATTTTTTGCTGCCATAAAACATTATATAAGCAAAAGCATCGACATCTGTTTAAAATATGTTTTCCTACTACATTATACGGTGCTGTCATTAAAGTATTTTTTAAGTTTAAATTTAGAAGCGATTGTAAGGCTCTTTTTGAACTGAACTGTAAATGAGGAATCCTCAAATTTTTGCCTTGTTGAATGAGGAATTTATTAGTTTTGGATGGCGGGATATTTTGTAAATTGAAACTTATCTTCATTTTTAATTTATTAACAAATAATTCTCAATTTATTCAATCAAAAGTCCATAAATTTTTCATAACTTCAATGGCAAAATTTCTTGCATTTTATAAAAATTACAATTAACAACTGACTATTTGCAAGGAGTTGACTGTTTAACATTAATGAATTTTCATGGGTTTTGGAATTTTCATGTTTTTGTATGAAAATTATAAATACAAGAAATCCTTAAATTAATTATTATTATCTTCTCTAAAAACTAAGGTCATTTGACGTTGCTAACGAGAAGCACTTAATTAAAGAATAGCATTTATTGTTTAGTGTACCAAAAAACTTGTTAATGAGTCGTTGTTCTTTATCCGCTCATTCATATTCATATAAATAAAAGAAATAAGTAAATGAGGTTCGTAAAGATTACATTCATATGTGTGTTAAATTCTCTTTTTTTACTGCTTTATACGTTATTCGACACTAAAGAGTAAAAAACTGCAAAACACACCCCAACAGGCAGAAATAAAATTCAATTTTTCACATTTTTCTATATTTCCATTTCACTCATTCGCGCCTTTGAATTCATTCAGCAAGCACACAAAAAAGCATTACCATAAAGACATTAATGGCTCATTTGTTTTCTTCTTATTCTTAACTTTTTTTCTCTTTTTATTTCTTTGCATATTTATTTTGAAATCATACACAGAACAGGCCAAAAAATATATTAAGCACAAAAGAAGCGAAGAGAAACGACAAAAGTCACAAGGAATTTGCATCAAAAGATTATTTTTAAAAGCATTTAATTTTTTAACTTGAAGCTCCATTAAAGCACAAAAATGTACAATTTTAACACTTCGTTATCAACACCATTACTCGGTGTCGGGGTTGATTTTTGTTCCAGTACCCCAAGAACGCCGGAAATCCTTAACTCGCTCATCGCAATGACAAATCCATTCGAATACTCATATACATCAGCAACATCACAAAATCAAACCATTCCAACTGTATCATCATCAAATGGTGGCAGCTTAAGCAATCTATTCAATGACACTTCACCAGTGATAGCATGCAAATTGGAAAATTCATTTATTCAACAGCAATATGATAATAATTCTCAATCGAATTGCTCATCTTCATCGTCACTGGAATCTCCGAGTACGACACCACTTCATATGGCATCAACAATCGCTTCCACGACACCGAGCTTGCAACAGGTGAGCATGATTAAAAATTGAAATTTAATTCCTTTTTCTCTTTCTCTCTGCCTTCTTTTTTTCGTTCATTGTTGTTATTATTTATATTCGTTATGTTTCGTATTTAAGCCTATTTTTTTTTTAATTTTTATTTCATTAAACTTCAATAACGGATCTCCCTTATGGATATAGATATGTGTACTGACAATAAATATTACTTTTTAACATTTTTTTTGAAACAACCATAAATGTTTGAGACGTTCGTTTTAACCTCTTATTTAAGTACATTTTAGACTTTAAGATTAGCAGAGATTTTATCATGTGTTCCGTGCTGTGCATAATGTAGGTGTGCTATAAGTTTGAAACGCTATTAAATTTTCGAAGAAATATTTGCATTAACAGAGTTGGTAGGTTAGTTTTTGGTTGTGTTTAAGGGAATTTTTAAAATCTCTGGAATTTTTATATTCCTTAAGATATACTCCGAAAAGACATGATATCACAAAATTAAAAAAATATTAATTCTTTTTTAAAATTTTTCATAATTCATGTAAATGTAAAAAAAACGTTAATTTTTATTGCACAGCTATAAAGAGTCATCATCTTGATCTTTAAAATAAAGTAATAATTCATTTAAAATTTGACACATTTTCCTTGTTATTTCATGACCAAATGGACAAAACAATGCCACGTATTCATCCGTGTATGATGGACTCTTTTACTTAAATTTTGTGCGTTATATGAGAATTTACCTTAAACAGAATATAAAGCGCATGAAAGAGTAGAGAATAAAAAAGATAATTGAGGACAAAGTCATTAATTAGTTATTAAGGATTTTCTTGGCTTATTCATGCACATCAAGTACATTTGTTTATGTATTTTTTGAAAGTGTGACAAAATGCAGCAGCAGCTCAAGTTGCACACAGCACATGACAAGATTGTATCTCACATGTAAAGTTGTGGGTGTAATTCTGTAAATGCCGCGAGAGATTTTTTTCTCAAGAGCATTTAATTTTTTTTTTTGGTTTGTTTATTGAGTTTAGCTTGGGTGGGTTAATAGCTAGCTAATTATTTATAAATTAATTGCAAAGTATATGTATAAGTGCATATCGATAATTTCTTAAAATCCTAGGCAAAATAAAAATCTACTACGGAAAACTTTAAAAAAATTCAAAACAAACTAATTGGAATAAAATTGTATTTTCTCGGTTTTTGATGTGATTTGTGTATTTCGATCTGCACACACTTTTGTGTAGGCGTGTGCGCGCGGACACATGAGTAAATAATAATAAAAAAAAGTAACGGAAATATATATATATACATATATTTTCTTCTTTTAACGATTTCATTTCATTCAATTTTTTCTTCATTTTACTGTGTAGACTCGCTCACAATTAATCAAGGCTGGTGTAAAACTTTTAATTCAAAATAAACGAAAAAATAGTGGAAGTTCCTGTGATGCTGACTGTAAACCACCACCATTAAAAATACGAGCTACTTCAACTTTATCATCACCGACATCATCATCAAGAGATTTTATTTCTAGCATTCCAATAAACAGCAACACCAGTAGTAATAGTGACTCCTCAGAAATTGTGCCATTAACATCACCCAAGCAAGTTGCGTCGCCCATTAGTGTACGAAACTTTTCAATCAAAACTGATTCAACGACATCCTGTGACGAAGATACGGACATTAAGCCTCTGGTGAATAAACATAATGTAAGTATTTTTGAACAAAAGTTGGGCAATGATGTTTTTTTTAAAGAAAATCCTTTTCAAAACAGAAAGAAATAAAAATTATTCAAACCCTGATTTTGTCCATTAATACCTCAAATATTTATATTTAATTTAAACTCATTTCCTATATGTATATTTCTATAGCTTACACCCGAAGATGAAGACCGCCGTAGAAGACGTCGTGAACGTAACAAAATTGCAGCAACAAAATGTCGACTTAAGAAACGTGAATGTATTAATAATTTAATGCGCGAATCGGAAACACTCGAAGCACAGAATGTTGAATTGAAAACACAATTGAAAAGTTTGGAGGAAGAATATAAATACTTAACTGATATGTGGCAGGCGCATCAGCATGAATGTAAAAATTTATCCCTCTTAGGATCAGTAACGAATCGAAATACGAACAATATATGTGATGGAAGTCTGGATCCCTTGAGTGAACTCGATGCAGCACTAAAAGACACAAACAACAATAAACATTTGAACGACCAGAGTCAACTTCCAAGCTTAACACCATTAATAAATTGCAATGTGTCATTTGATTTTTATTAAACTGACAAAATTTTTATATTCCGGTCTCAAATAAATGTTTTTACATTCTGTTTTCAAAACATATACATTGCAAGCAAAACTGAATAATGAGAAAAAGAAGAGAAATTAAACGCGAATGAAATAACATTTTGTAACATTTTTTGAAATTCCCTGATGACAGCTTAATTGATATAAAAATGTAAGAAGAAGAAAAATACGAAAAATTGAACTTAATTATTCATTTTATGAAGTGAGAAAACAATTTGAAAGAAAAAAATCAATTGCAAAAAAGAAAATCGTAAGTGAAGAAAAGAGAATTTTTCAATGCAGCGAGAAATTATCATGATCCACAAAAAAATGTGTCTAAAAATGTAAATAGAGCTTCTATCATGTTTTATTATTTTTGAAACAGGTGATGTTTGTATAAAATTATCGAATAACGAAAAGGAAGCTAAGCCTTTACAATAATTTATGTCAGTCAATCAATCGGCTAGAATCAGATTTGTTCATTTCCTAAGTTTATACTGTAATGTAATTGATAATGAAAATCAATAGACAAATGCCGATCGATTTGAATATGTGGAAGGGTGCGTTGAAAGGAATGCACTTGCACTCGCTGCATGACACATCAATTAAGATCAATTAGACATTTTTTCTCTGTTACTACTTGCATATTTGCAACATTAACATTCATTGAATAAGCTCATTCACTCTATTTTAATTTATTTAGAGTGAAGTGACGTTTACTAAACAAATGTGCGATAATTTTTAAGCGTGTTATTCAATTACTTAAAAATCTTTAGTATTTTATTTCAACTCTTGAGAACGATACTCAAGAAGTATGAAAATGAAGTTTTTTTTTTATTTGAAGAATGATTTCAATTTTTCGTAAGTTCAATTAACATTTTATTATTCCATTGGCTTTTTCACAGGTTAAGTCATTGCATTTTTCTCTCTAAATTTTTTCTAATTTATTTATCAACAATGTGAAAATTTCTGGTCAAATAAAGATTAACAATGATGCATTCAAGATATTTTGGAGCTAAAACAGAGAGCGAAGATCATTTTGTGTTTTTTTATTCAAAACTTTATTTCTTATTTTAATTATTTCAGGATTAATTAGAGTAACTGCTTGAGAGTGTATGAAATAGTTCGTCCAATTATGAGATTTGGGGCTCCTTTTGTTATTAACTGCACAGGATATTGTTCAAAAGATGTATGTCTTTATATCAAAAGACGTGCAAATTTTGAACTTTTTTTGATATCATTGAACCTGTACGATTGCTGTTATCTTTTTGAGAGCTTGTTTTATTTTATCAATGCAATGTTAATTTAAAGCTGAGATTTTTTTCGAGTGAATCAAGATTGTGCTACTGCTTTTTTTATCAAATATACTTTTCTTGTAAGGTGCACATCAAAAAGTTAAAATTTGGACTGACAATAGACAGTATCACATGGTTAACAATCCTTTCGTTTTCGCATGACTATGTTATTTGTTTGATTAAAATGAGAATCTTAAAAGCCATTTGAATTCGGAGGAGTTACAATAAAGTTTAATCCAGATGAAAAAAAAATGAATGATTAAACCAATAAAACTAATAAGACACAAAAGATTGTTGAGAGAATTGACTTGGGAAAAGCAGAAGGTTGAAGAATACATCTGCAAATATACAAGCTGTCTGCTGAAAAATATGATAAATATTTAAACATATGGAAACTATTATATTATTTTTAAGCATAGTAGCTTGCGATGGATTGAAAAATTCAAACTGTTGCTGAAAATGAAAATTAATGAAAATTTTGTCATTAGATTTCATCAATATTCAAAGATATATTTTGTCTTTCATGAAAGCATTTTAAAATGTATTTAATTTAACCTTTCTTTTTACTTATAATATAATCTACAATTTTTTTAAATTTCCTTATTTAGTTCGAACGATATGAAAAACTTATTTGTACGCATGTTACTCGTTTAATTATGTTTAAATAATTTATAGCGACAAATCTGTTTTTCGAACTTTCTTCTACATTGATTTTTAATCTCTATTAACTTTCTTTTATTACTAAAATTTTATTTTAATTCACTTTTGATTCTCAAATATTAACTTTCAGTTTTCTCAAGAAAAATTTTCTCATTTTTTTATATAAAAAAGTTTATTTGTGCAAAAATTAAGAAATATTTTGGAAATATTCATTTGCATATTCTCAACCAAAAAAGACTTCCTAAAATCTATATAAAAACATTTTCATCTTTATTTCATTTATCTATGTTTAATCAATCAACAGTACAGATTAGATTTCTTTTGACAATATTTTCCAAAAAACATTCTTCTTAACGACTAAAATACGTAAGTAATAATGTGGAATACTATGCAGGTGTAGTTTTAAATTATATTGTTTATCAAAAGAACTAATATTAGCGACTGGAAAATTTAAAAAGAGATTTAATTATTAGAAATTGCATAATAATTTTTTTTTCAAATTCTAGAAAGTTCAACTTTTAAGTATATTCATGCTATATATTAAATCACATTTATGTTGATAGACATTTGAAATTATTAACTAGGTTTATGAGTTTCTTGTCCTATTTAACTTGCCTGCACTAGATGTAACTTTTATTGTGTATCAATTTTGAAGGTCATTAATGTTTACATCTTCACATGGTGAAGGTCATAGTGGTGTTTTGTTTACAATGTTTTTTATACATCACATGCAAATAGTACGATTTTGAGCAATGTTTGTGTATGGGGCCGTTCACTTATTACGTTCGCATTTTAGGGGAGAGGGGGGGGGGGTTGAAAAAATGTAACAAAATGTAACATAGGAGGAGAGGGGGGGGGTGTCAAGAAGTGTTTAACGTTCTAACTGTCGTCACGAAAAAAATTTGTTTTTTTTAACCAAAAACATTTTTTTAAATTTTCCATCATTTTAATGAAAATTTAAATGTTCTTAATAACTACCTATTTATCAAAATAAAATAAATTATGAACGTTCAGGGGGGTTGTGAGTTGTAACATATTGTAACAAAGGGGGGAGGGGGGGGGTGAAAAAAAGTCGTTTTTTTGCGTAACGTAATAAGTGAAAGATAAGTGGCCCCTAAATCTAAAGAACCGAAAAAATTGCTTAAAATCTTGTATGAATGTCTAATTTATAAAAATGAATGTCAGATGTGAATTATTGTCAAATATTAAATAAATTTCATTAACGCAAATTTTGGCAATTCCATTTGTTCGGAATGTTTGGAAGTGTAGATTTGACTGATTTAAAATTTAATTTACCTTATAATAATCATTGAACTAAATTTCAATTTCGTGGGTAAATATTGCATTAAAACTTTTTCCAGTCACTTATATTATTCTTTTTTCCTTTTGCAGAACTTTAATTGAATGTTTATTGTATCTTTTCATTATTTGAATTTATTAATATGTATTAGCTATGTTTTTTATTCTTTAGGGAGTTGATACTTTAAGATACTTGAAAATAAGTGGAACATATGAATAGAATAGTAGAAAATATGTTGTTTTTTTTTCAGAAATCATTACAAGGAAAATTCTGAATGAAAATTGTTGCTAGTTTTGTAACAAATTGTGCTTGAATTCTTAGAATTTCGTTTCATATTCCGGAACATATTAAAGTACCAATTTTAAGAATGTGACAATTTAGAATGTTCAACTAAATCGGACGGAATAAAAACCTTAATTTAAAATTAAATGAAAAACCAGGTGCAAAAATAAGGCATTACTTGCCGGAATAACTAAACTTAAACGTCAAACTCTCGCTCTAAGTTCCAATGGACTTTCTTCTTATACTAGAAACGATCTTTCGAAGCTGCCGTATATTCCATTTCGGTCAAATTTTGAATTTCTTGAAGTTCTTGAAATTTTTCGTGATCACGAATATGTGCATAATTTGCTGCCAGACACATCAAGTAATGTACTAAACTTAATATTATTAAAAGGCATGAGAGACTTGCAAGGATGAACATAATTTCAGCCTTCTCTACTGCATCTTTACAAAATGCTTTAACTTCATATTCTTCACAAACTTTCATATCCTCTTCTCTTGCTTCAGCTGGGAATAAAAAGTCTACAAAACGAAACAAAAATAACATGAGTACATTCAAGCATGATATGAAATCAATATGACATACTAAATTGTGTGAGATCAATACACGTCCGGTGAGTCTGCACCTCAACTTTTGAGCACATTTTCCAAAAAAGTGTAAAGCAAAAAGTGACGATGCTCAAAAAGCACAAAATTAAAATCCAAATTATTTTTAAGATATATGTAATTGCCATGAATACAGCACAACTAATACGTCCACCAACTCTTGAGCCCCATGCACGATACACTTTATGCCTCGTTGCTCCCGTTGCCAAACATCCAACAAATAATATCATGAATCCAATCGCTGCCATTGTTGCGGCAATTATAACAAAAATCATTTGTATTGCTTCAATCCATAAAAGCTTGAGATGAAAAACAACATCAAACATGATGACTGATAGTGATGCTCCCCGATACATTGTTGCACAAAATATTCCTACACCAATTAGCAACATTATCGTCGCCAACAGTGTGGCAAATGGTATTCTTGTAATACATGATTTACAGCAATCTCCTAAAAAATTTTGATTCGTAGAAACAAAAAATTTGAATCATGATTTAAAAAAATAATTGTTGATGCAATTACAACAAAAGCTTGATTGATGAATGAATATGGGTGGTGTAAATGAATGTAATAAAGCATATACAGAAGCTGTTACGAAAACAACAAATAATGCATCTATTTATTTTGCTTGCTGCTTCCAATTATTTGCTTTTACATCGCACGTGTGTACAGATAACATGAGGTGTGCAAGAGTATAGATTTTCGGCGCATTTTTGCATGTGTCTAAATTTTCTGATTAATAAATTGCATTTTTTAAATGATTGTACTGTATTAGGACCAAAAACTGGGCGTTACCATTGAACTTGACAAAATTATCAATTTAAGTGATATATTTTTAACTGAACTGCTATCTAATCTTTAAGGTTTCACAGATACTCAAACATTTTTTATATGAATCAGACAAATGCAGACAAAAATGCGCTTAAATCTTACGTTGAACCGTGGTCACTTTGAGTAAACTAGTTTTGACCTATTGTATCACAAAATGATGTTTATTTAGTGCTTCACATATTTTGCATACAATTTTTTTTTTTTTTTGACATATCACCTTCTGAATAGCTTTTAGCTGCATCTGAATATCGATCTATCGAATAATTTGATCGAAATGGTCGAGGTTTGTTCAAATTACTCCCATTATTATTATTAACATTTGAATTATTATTAAAATGAGCTCTCGTTAATGCACCATCGTCATCGAAATTAGTCTCCAGTAAGAAATTGTCCCTTGGCTCTGAATTTCGATTTCTTGAAGACATTTTTCACTGTTTTAATTTGATCTATAACTTTAAACTTTAAATTGAAATTTTAACGCGATAAAAATTTACAGTTGAACTAACTTGTTGATTCTCTCTTCTATGACTAATGGAATGTCCAAAGAATATTACGTAGAAATCTTACACATACACTAAAACACCTAATATTAACTCAGAATTCCAATGCGATTCAAGTTTTTCTCTTTTACACTTCGCTCTTTTTATAATTTTACATTCGTTAGCTCCCAATGAAAGAAAAATCATGTACACGATGAGAAACTTTTTATAATCTTTTCTTGTTTGTTCGTGCCTTTTTTTCTTATTTCTTATTTTTGTTTATGTGGAGCAGTATAAAGTGACAATTTATATTTCCATGCAACTTATCCGAATTAGTGGTCTTAATTGTGAATGAAGCATAAGAAAGTGAATGAGAAGAATTTACTGGATGTTGTCCAAAGAATACGCCCAAACTCAATTGATCGAGAAATTTTTTTACTTTATTTATTTTTTGTATCTTATCATAGTTTTTTTGTTATCATGGCAGGTGATAAGTACTAACGATTGCCTTACCCATTTTTGAAAATGATGATATTACTTTTTGTTTAAAAAATTATTAGAAAATTTAACTTTTTTTCTGCACCCCGATATTGAGTAAACAAAAAAATTAATTTGACTTTTATTAGGATTAAATCTTCTATTATTGCTGCACTTTAGATTATTTTTATTATTAAAATGCTGAATTACATAGCTAATCCTTATTTATGTCATTTTATCCTCACTAAATTGTGAAAATTTGACTCTTTTGAAATTTATGCTTTATCCAATAGAAATTACAAAATTAGCGTTTCAAACAATCCGACATGTGATCACAATTTTAACGGATTTTTCATAAAATAAACGGTTTTTTCAAATTTAAATGCAAATTTCAATCACAGGAAGTGAGTTTTGTTTTGATCAATTTCGATTGTGAGCAATCAAAAAAATTAAGACTCTACAAATAAAAGCGATTGCCATTTAGTAAAAAGGATTTAGGAAGGTTGATTAGACAATTTACAAATCTTCAGTTCAAAATAGGAGAAAGAAGTGCAGTAAACTGATACGAAAACATTAATTTTAAAAATGTTACGAAATTCGAAGAATATTAAGTTATCTTTAATATTACAACATTTTAAGGCAAAGCATTCATCAGTAGTGCTAGAGAAAATAAGAGAACGACTTGAGAACGGCCCTAGTTTTCAAGATTTTATTCAGAATCCCGAACACAGTCGTGAGGAATTATCAAACGAATTTGATGGAAAATTGAGAAGAGAAAAGGGCGACAAGGAACGATTAAGACTTCCTAAATGGCTTAAAACACCAATTCCTTTGGGTAAATATTAAATTAATACTTTAAAAAAGATCCAGTTGACAAAAAAAGGATTACTATTTAGGAAAGAATTACGATCAAATTAAATCGCAATTAAGAGATCTAAAATTGTCGACAGTATGTGAAGAAGCTAGATGTCCAAATATTGGAGAGTGCTGGGGTGGAGGTAAACATGGGACACAAACAGCAACTATAATGGTAATAATCAAGAAAAAAAAAAAATAAAAAAATAGGTCGAAGTCAAGGTCAAACTGATTGTAAATTTGATTACAGCTGATGGGAGATACATGCACAAGAGGATGTAGATTTTGTTCTGTTAAGACAGCCCGAATTCCACCACCATTAGATCCAAAAGAACCTGTAAATACAGCAATTGCAATTGCTTCTTGGGGTTTAGATTATATTGTCTTAACAAGTGTCGATCGAGATGATTTAAGTGACGGCGGTTCTAAACATATTGCTGAAACAATAAGTGAAATCAAAAAACGTAATCCCGTAATATTTGTCGAGTGTCTTGCACCAGATTTTAGAGGAAATCACGAATGTATTGAGAGAATCGCGTTATCAGGAGTCGATGTGTATGCACATAATATAGAAACTGTTGAAAAATTGACACCATTTGTGAGAGATAGACGAGCTGAATATCGTCAATCACTTAAATGTTTAGAAACAATCAAAAAAATCAATCCAAATCTTGTCACAAAGTCTTCAATAATGCTTGGGCTCGGAGAGACTGATGAACAAGTAGAACAAACATTAAAGGATCTAAAAGAAGCAAAAGTCGATTGTATCACACGTGAGTTCCTTCAAAAATAACTTATTTGATTACAATTAGCTGAATGAAAATTTTCTTTCATTCTTCTAGTCGGTCAATACATGCAGCCAACAAAGAGGCATTTAAGTGTAATAGAATATGTTACACCTGAAAAGTTTAAACATTGGGAGAAACGAGGAGAAGAAATGGGATTTTTATATACAGCTTCTGGTCCACTAGTTCGAAGTTCCTATAAAGCAGGCGAATTTTTCATAACGAGTATATTGAAAAAAAGACAGAATGCCTCAGCTGACAAAAAGGACTAAATATTTCATGACTAATTTAATAAATTAAACTTTTATTTCTCATCGTCCTACTAAACTAGTTGAATAAGCTTATATGAAACCAATTTTAGTTGTTGAAGAATCTTGTTGAAATCGTGTGTAAATATCCAATTTTAACAGTTGTGTAAATATATTGCTCCATATTAATCAGTTTCTCTATATCATTTTCCATTAAATCTGTTAATAATGATAATTCAGCTCCGAGATGATTAATGGATGCTTTAACGATCAAATAAATTGTTATTGATAGCAGATGATCAGCTGAAAGCATAAATCCGATGTTCGATAGTTTGTTCGAGCAATTGTTGATAATTTCAAATGTATCCTTGATAATTTTCAGCATTTCTGATGGACCAAACTTTTGATTGAGTTTCTTAAAGCACTCAATCGCTTGATAAAATTGCTCATCTTCCAGCAATGGAATCAAATTTGGTTCTATTTTTAATAATTGACGCAATTCTTCGTTACTTTTTTTCTCGCATGTAATTATACGATGGGCATAAAGCTCATCTTGTCTAGAATTCTTACTTGCATACAGTAAAAAGAAGCAGGAATAAATTTCATCATTGAGCAAAAGTTCGTGCATAAAATTTAAAGGTGCTAAAAGCTTGCAATCTCCATCGTAAACATTTTCACCATTGTTATCATTATCTGTTGTTTCACAAGGTGGAAGATGTACAAATAAGAGTCGAAATATGCTATAAATCTTCTTCATTAACGAAATCCATTCACTTGTTGCTATTTTTGATAAAATTGATATTGGTTTACTCCTCCAATTTCCATAGCATGCACTAAAAACTTTTCTCAGTTCATTTACAAGAAGGTAAAATGGGTGATGAATATCATCAATGCTTGCATTTAAATATCCTTTTAACTCCTCAATCGATTCTGATGTTGTAAATGAGCTATTGTAAAATGATGGAACAAAATCGAAATCACTTGCAGATATCCTTGACTTTTTTGGTGCAGCAATTGAACTAATTGAGTAGTCACTAAGAGTCCTTAATGAACTAGTTTCAAAGTCATCAGATGAAGCTGCTTTGATATATAACTCTGAATTTGATCGAGAAATTGAAGGAATAGACACTTGATTTTGTTCTGATGGAACCATAAATTGCATATCATTATATTCATTCTCATTTGTATCTTCAGTTACAAGCATAAAGTTTGTTTTCATGTCATTCTCAAAACTTTTTCTTCTCACTATAAATGACGATATTCGATACCATCGATCTTGTAAAATTAATTTCTCAGGCCAAGCTGTTCCAAAAACTTCCTCGCACCAACTAGTGAAAAATGTGGACCATTTACGATCAGATTTTATCATTAGGTAATTTGATGAGCTATTTAAAATGCAGATATAAAATTAAAATTCTGTGAATTACAATAAATCATGTAACTTACTTTGGTGTTCTCAGAAATATTTCATTCATCGACATAGTTCCGTTAGAAATTTGAAATCTATCCCAAGTGCCAGAGAGAGTTCCTTTTAAAACATTTCCTTTCATTTTCATACTACTATCATCTAATTCCATAATTTCTTCAATTATTTCTGTCTCGGGAATATGTAATTGACCAATACCATTTGCTCCATCAATTGTAAGTTCTCCAATATAATAGGACCCATTTGGAAAAATCACGAGACCATCCCCTGATAATTGGTTATTAACAAACAATCCCTCGAAATAAGATCCATCCATTGTAATTAAAATTCCAGGCCCATGTCTTTTTCCATCTTGCCACATTCCAATATATTTGTTGCCACTTATTGAATCATCTTCAATTCCGTAACCACTTTTTACGTTATTATTAAATTCTCCATAATAAGTAACGTCTTCATGGGATAAAACACCGTATCCATGAAATTTGTCGTTCCTTAAAAACCCCTGATGAAAAATTGGTTTAAGCTTAGACTTCCAAGTTCCAAATCCACATAATTTTCCATTCAAAAACTCTCCATGATATTTAAATGTAGAATCCTCAATAATTCCATGTCCACTAAGATCACCAATAATATTCGTTATACGACATCTATACAATCGATTAATTGCTGGATTTTTAATATGACATAGATCTGTAAATTTACCTTCAAACCACTTTCCATCAACTTCGTAGTTAGGAAATTTTGCATTTCGTTCAGTAAATTTATAACAACCATAACGAGTTATTGGAAGTGATTGATTAACAGTATTTGAGTTCTTTCTTAATGATTGCCATATACAATCACGAATATTTTTTTGCCAATCTGTCTTATCCTGAGACGTAAGCGTATAAACTTTCATGACATTTTCTGGTGTAATAATTTTAAATGAGAATTTATTTGAACTTGATGTACTGAAGGCATGCAGCCATACTAAATTTATTGGAATGAATTCAGTGCGTGTTAAGGAATAAGCAAGGTAGTCATTAAAAAGAATAAATCTTTGTTTTCCGAAAATTGTTGATCGATCGTGAAGTTTTAACGGAACAACTAGTGAGTCCATAACAAATCTTCTTTCTTGGTGATGTAGTTCATGCTTAATAGTTGAATCATTCAATGATTGCCAAAATGTGAAAGTGTCTTGTGCTTTTTGAAGCTTTTGTGGAACAATTACTTTTCTAAAATCTTCAATTATCTTTTTCCTTTCGACAGTTTGGCGCTTTAGTTCTTCAATTTCTTGATCGTGAATTGAAATATTTGGATTATTGTTATACAGATGTATATCATAAATTAAATCAAGTAGTTTCTCATAAACCTCAATACATACAAATGGCTTTTCCAAGACTATTTTCACAATCTTTCGATCTACACGCTTCTCATAATGACTAATTGAGTAGTAGGAGATTATATCACAGAGTTGGTTTAAATAGCGTTGATATTCACGCATAACATTAGTAAAGTGAGCATTAAATATAGTTTTTTCTAGATTCTGCTCACAATCACTTTGTAGAAGGTCAATAGTCATGCGAAGATTTGCAATGGATATGTATAAAATGTTTTCGAAAAATTCAACCAATTTTCTTGTATCGTCATCGATATTTCTAATATCTTTCATAAACTTCTGGTAGACATTAATCATAGCACGGACATTTTTCTGTTCCTCGTTTAAATAAGTTAAAAGGAACATTGATATATTTTTGTGATTGACTAGTAGAATCTTATTGTGACTGATTATATATGGTACACTATAAATTCCTTCATTATCTTCAATATTCCCTGCATCATATTCATACTTCAAATCACTAGCAAACTCCTCGTTATCATCTATGGAATTTCCGTTTTTTCCAAGAATTTTGAATGAGAGATCATTGAAAAGGATTATAGTATTTGAAGTTGATGTTGTTACAGCTAGAATATTTTTTGACACTTTGCCATTCATTTCACTTCTAAATTCCATTGGTGAGCTTATGTCTTGAATAGATGTGTCTATTGATATTTGCTGATGATTATTGAATCCCCATAGAAATAATTTTCCATCTAATGTCAGCGCAGCTGCATGATGACTACCACAATGTATCTTATAGACACCAATATCTACGAGTTTAATTATCACAGCACAATCCTTACGTTTAATGTGATCACCAGAACCTAAAAGTCCTAAATCAGATTAGATCATTTGATTATTTGGGAGATTAAGCAAATTCAAAGCAAAATAGGGTTATTAGCAGCAAGGGAATACAGTAACTTGGAAATATTTCGTACCTTTATTAATAGATCCAAAACTCCAAACTTGAGTTTTCAGTAAATCTCGTCCATCAAATCTCACTTTTTGCAAAAAGTCCTTTTGATTGGCACCATCGTCATTTTGTGGACGTTGAGGTATGACGAGAACAAGCGCAAAATTATCACCTGTGGCGACTTGTAAAGCTTTGATGCTTGAAAAGCATTCAATTTTCTTTGGCTCGTCACTGCATAAAACATTTTCAAAATTTCCCATTCCAATCATTTCATGCTCATCAGTAATCATCAACAATCCATCTCCATTGCCAGAAATCTGTGTAATTTTATGCTCTACTTCTATAATATCCCATCTACGATCATTAATTTGTTCAATATTTGTCTTATAAACTTTTCCATCATTGTCAACAATGTAGAATAGAGGATAGCTATATGACGCATCAACAACATTCTCTCGCAACTTTATAATATTAGAATTATTATCTCTTTTGAAAAGAATTAGGTAGTTTTGTAGTGTCAATATCAAATTATTATTTCCACAGTCAAAAACTTTTAAAACGTGATGTTTCCATTCGATATTGACCTTTTTATTTTCGTAGTAAACGACGTTGCAAGACATTTTACATTGAAACTGAAAGCTTATTGTTATTAATTATTTCTGAATTTCATTGAATATTATTAAAACTTACTTAACGTTGAATTTCTGATCACTTTTACGCCTTTAACTGTACACCCACATTGTTTAGATTCTTGTCAATAGATTAAAACTATTAAGAACTAGTTTCTTATGCGAGAAACATCTTAATTTTAATAAATTGTTTGTTATTGTTTAAAAATTTTTCATTTGAGTTTCTTTTAACGAGATTCGATCTGCTCGGAATCAGCTTATTTTTCAAAAAAATATTTTATTTCGTTTTTTTCTGTCGAACTGTCTAAACTATTATTTGTAAATAAAAGCACGAGGTTAAAAGTGAAAAACAAATAATTTTTTTTTTGAAAGTTTCTGCTATAATTAACAAAATAAAAATGTCGAAAACAGCTGTAAGTTAAGAAACACTATTATGATTAAATGAAATATTCATGAATTCTTGTCAATTTCAGGGACTTTTTGTAAGAAATCCAAATTTTGTTGCTAAACAATCGGAAGAAAGAGAAAATGAGGATTTAGTTGCATCAAATAGATTGTCGGACGATTCTGGTGTGTCTGAGGACATTACTGCAAGCAAAAACAAGTCAAAGAAACGAAAAACTAAAGCAAAAGATGGAAACAAATCGAAAAAGCATAAAACTTCAGATGAGAAATTGACTGCTGAGCAAATTAATGAAATGAAGGAATCAGAGGAACTGTATCATTCAAATATGTTTAGAATGCAAATAGATGAAACATTAAAAGAGATCAAACTAAAGTGTTCTCAAGAAGAATTCATTAATAAGTGGTTGACAACATTCAAAAAGTTCCTTAACAAGCTTCCAAATGAAAATATATCTGGACTTTTAAAGCATGATGACTATCCAATGAGAACTAAACTAATAGAAGAGGACAAGAAATTCCAAATGACTTATCAATCTCCAAAGGATGCTTTTTTGTATGGATCGTATGCTTTGAGCACAAATATTGGTAATGATTCTGCTGTAGACATTCATTTGATCGTACCCGATGAATCTTTTAAGAAAAGTGATTATTTGAATCACATTTTTATACACAAGAAAACACTGTACTTATGGTTCATAGCAAAAAAATTGAAGGAAAAGGGTACACTTGGTGGTAATATCAAAGTGATTTATTTGAAGAATGATCCTTTAAAGCCAGTCTTAATGATCGATGCTGAAGAGTTTCATATATCGATAACTGCTTCTATTTCTCAAGAGTTTTTCAAATTGAATCGTTTTGTGCCTAAAACAAATAACATTAAGTTAAAGGATGTCGAAGAATCAACCACACCTACTCCACATTACAATTTTAATATTCTTTATGATTGCACAATCGAGAGAAACCAAAGGTTTATATTCAACGAAATCAGCAAGTTTGATAATGTTAAAAATGCAATTAAGCTTCTTAAAATTTGGATACATCAAAGAGAATTTGATACTGGATTCTACCCATTCAATGGATTTATCGTCACCAATTATTTGATCCATTTAATTAAAGTCAAAAAGATTTATCCTACAATGAGTTGCTATCAGATAGTCAGACTTTTCTGGAACCTTTTCGGACACTCAAAATTGGATATTAATGGAATTTCTCTGTGTACTGAAAAAGATCTTTCAAATCAGGTGAGAATTATGCTCTTTCTTTTATTCCATGACAGCATTTTTATGCAATGTTCATTTTTTCAGCCATCGATTCAAGATTTTCACGAGTTTTATGATGTAGTAATGGTTGACAATTCAGGATATTGTAACATTTTATCATTCCTTTCAGTAGATTTATATCGAAAAGTTCGCAATGAATGTCTTAATGCCATCAAAGTTTTAGACAACAAATTAATCAACAGCTTTCAACAATTATTTTTAACTAAAATCCCATACTACCTTCAATATGATCATTTTATATCGATAAAATGGGATTGCAAAACTTTTGATAAAATAATCGAGAAGAATGGATCAGATGAAGATAAAATTGATTACAGAGATTCGCTATATCCTCACGTTAGAAAGTTAATAATGAATGTTTTAAGAAAAGGACTTGGTGAGCGGGTTACATCGTTGATTCCTGTAACTCACAATCAGAGTTATGACTTCAATATTGGAATAATTTTAAATCCCGAACATGCATTTAATATTGTCGAAAAAGGTCCACAATCAAATCAACCAGAATCTGAGGAATTTAGAAAATTTTGGGGAAATAAGTCAGAAATAAGACGATTTAAGGATGGCTCAATTACAGAATCAATTCTTTGGTGTAACGCGGATGCACCAATAGCAGAAAAGCGCATCATTTGCCAGAAAATTGTGACATTCTTATTAAAACATCATTTTAATATCATCAACGATAAAATTGTCTACAATGCAAAGCAATTCGATATTGTTATCCGATCAGTTTTCAACGAACTTGATGAGACAAACGAGGAACGATCATTAGCCGCTATTCGAGCATTCGATGAAATGAGTAAAGAATTGAGAAATTTAAATGATCTGCCACTAGAAATTGTGAGTGTTTTAGGAACTGATCCTGTTTTTAGATATACTGATGTAACGCCTCCTAATTCGCTTGCTAAAACTACTAATAGTGGTTTTATAAATAAATCATTGAGAGGAAGATTTCTGACTCAAAAGACACTCAATGGAGTAATTCAATTAGCGCCTTCAGGAAAATGGCCTGATAACATTGATGCGATGAAACGAATTAAAGCAGCATTTTACATTGAAATATCTAAGAAAATGTCTTCAAAATATCCATCAACAAGTATTCAAGTAATGCCTGATTGTGTTGAAATTTTAAAGGACAAGTTTGTGTTCAACCTTAAAATCGTTCATCCAAAGGAGATTGCATTAGCTAAAGAAGAAATATCCACGAAGAACAATTTGTCAACACTTTATAAAGCGAATGAAGAAAGCAACCGATTAGAATTTGAAAATGTTCTATTGCCAAAGTTGAATAGTTTTCTTCATGGATTACATTGCCGATTTCCAAGTTATGGACCAACAGTAGCAATTGCGAAACGTTGGCTGTATTCACAAATGATTGATTCATATTTGTGGCCTGATGAATGCACAGAATTATTAGTTGCTGAAATGTTTCTAAAAAATCATCCAGTAGAACCAAGCTGTCAGCCTCAAACTGGATTTTTAAGGTAAAATTTTATCTAAATTTGCAAAAGAGAAATTTTTGTAATATTTTTTTTTTTTGGTGAATTTTTCAGATTCCTTCAACATTTAGCAACTTTTTCATTTGAAAACGACATGGTTGTTGTAAATTTTAACGATGATATGGATGCAGAACAAATTGATGAGCTCGAAGTGAACTTTAGAAAAAATCGAAAAAATTTTCCACCAATTTTCATAGCAACATCGTGCGATTCATCCCACCAGTATGGAATTTGGAGTACACGTGCACCATCAATCTACATTTTAAAACGTGTTCAACTTCTTGCACAATGTTCGGTACAAATTGTTGCCGAGAATTTTACAAAACTGAATATGAACGTTGTAAAAGATTTATTTACAACATCACTTGAAGGATATAATTTATTTATTCATTTGAATGATAAATATATAAAGAAAGTAGATATTGTGCGCTACAACTTTACAAATTTTAAACCAGTTCAATTAGATCAGAAAATGGCATTTTCTGGAGGAATTGATTTCGTGGACACTTTCTTAAAAGAGCTTCGATCAGCTTTCGATGACATCGCCATTTTCTTCTATAACCCAATTGGCTCGAATAAAATCGCTGTCTTGTGGAAACAATCAATCAAAGAAAGAAAAAAATTTGCAGCATCGCATTTGAACATGTGTAAAGTTATTAATGAGCAATTAGAAGTAAATGTCGATGCAATCTTGAATGACATCCAGATCATTGGAAAAGGATTAATTGAGTCGATTGAAATTATACAGGATTAAAATTGTAATCTTTCTCATTCTTGTAGATCAACCCCTCAAACTTATGCAAATATATGATGAAAGTATCATAGTTCATGATAAAACATTCTTTATTTATTTAAACTTACTTAATTAAAATTAAGATAGCTGTTTATTTACATCAGTCTGGTTTCAATAATTTTCTAAGAATTTAAAACCCAGATTAATTTTAAATCGACAATACCTCAATTATTGAGGGTCTTAGACGAGGTAAGAGTCAATTTTTGAGAGCAAGAATCTAGTCCAATTTGCTACTCTCTCTTGCATATAAATATGCTATAGAAATCTTAACAACGAAGTTTAATTCACATAACTGTAAGTAATGAAAGGATTCATGAATAGAAAATTAAATAAAAATTTCTACTGCATGACATAAATCATGACCAAGTTCCAATAATATCCTTTGCACGTTAGGCATTCAAAAGGAGAATCTAGGATAAGCAGTATAGAAATTGAGCGGATACAACGTCAAGTCATTCAAATACACATGCTCACAACTGAAAATGAGAGTAATATTCAGTCAAACTGTGAATTGCACAAGGCACAGACGTATACAAAACATTTCGGGGTGTTGTAAGAAGGCCGCTGAGAAAAGAGAAAAAAATTATTACAATTATCAATTTTTAGGAAATTTCTAATCAATCTGAGTGCAAGTGATGTTATAAAATGTTGCGTTTAATTAATGTTACTGCCTAATATTGTGCACGCAAGACTGATACAATTTTTCAACGCGTAAACGCGATGAGCGAAAAAAACTTTGAATTGAACGACGAAAAAAGAGTGAAATAATGGCGGCTGAGTATTCAAATGCATATAAGGTAAATATTTGATGATATTACTTTATTAAGGTCTAAATTATGAATTTAAGGAGACAATTTTGTGCACCAAAAGTGAGCTTCTTTCGCCTCATTATCGCATTCTTATAATCAAATTAAAGATGAGCATACACATTTATCGGTTCTAATTGTCGTCCATTACTCTCTACATTGCAATTCTACAGACAAAATTGTAAAGAAAGGAAGAAAAAAAGTGAAAAAGAAAATAAATTTTATTCATAAAATTTTATATGCCTGATGAAAATATGTACTGGAGGGAAAAATCAATATTCTGTATTTTTTCGGAGCATTGTTTTTCTCACTTTCAAAGCTCCACACACAAAACAAAAAGGAGAAAAAGAAGGGAAAAAAATCAGTGTATTTATACTGTGTACACTCACACACGTATAAAGTGATAAGCGGCAACATTTATTTTTTGGGAAATCCACAACATGAAAAATATGTATCCTTGCTACTGCTGCTCCTCCTGTATGAACGTAAAATTTTCTTCTCATTCCCTGTTTTGCTTCTGCTGGCTGGCACTTTTGCTGACTGACTCTTGATGCGGAGTAATGTTGCTGCATAAATGGCAATTTATACTTTTCTCTGTTTTTAGTTGATATTAAATGCTACTCGCAATTTCCATCATTGTCACCAAGCATCGATTGCCAAACATAGCAGAACCAAGGCGGTATCAGTAGAAGCAAATCCAATGGTGTGGTAAAATATGAAAAGAAGTGAAGAGAAAAAGGAAATAAAGTACGAAAACGTGGAACTAACGCAGTGAATTTTAAATGGTTTTCAAAAAAAGAGGAACTAAAAGAAAAATCAGAGTTGCGTACGGATGTATAAGTGTGTATAAAAAGGGCATATAGCATAAATTCGAGTGGCGTTTGATTTAACAATAATCAGAGAAAAAAAAAGCTTTTGAATTTAAGAGGATGGGGGAGAGACTGAGAGAGTTAAGGGGCATAAATAACAAAAAATGAACGATAATCTTTACCTTTATCTTAATTCGTAGTGATATCTGAGATCATTATCACCATACAATGAAAATAAGATTGTTCTCACGAGGTACGTTTAAAGAAAGAGAACCGTAAATAATAAAAACAACACAGTAATTTTTCCTTTCTCCTACTATGTTAACATACATACAAACGCACACACACATAATCGCATAATCAATGAGGAATAAGAAGCTTCTTTGATTTAAGATTTATCTAGCAAAGCAAGGGAAGAAAAAATAAATTTATAAATAACCAGAAAATCGTTGGAACCTGCGTGGGATGAATCAATGTTGTTGCTTCATCAATTATCGAATTCTATAACAAAAATATCAAAACTTGCTAGGAAAAGCTTCTTATCCGTATTACCACAACTCGAGCAAAATGCCCATTGATTGAGTGATTACACATTTTATTTTATTCTACTTATTGAATGCCTTCTAAGAGACCTTAATCTAACTTGTCATAGCTTTTAGATAGATTTGAGAAGGTCATCGAATAAAATCTACTTTCTCTGCTTGGAATGATGTCCTGTGCTAAATATCTCTGAGTTTTAAGCTTTATTCAACATGTGATATAACAAGGAAATCTACTTATTGGCATTTACCATGTAATACAAAGCATTGATTGCTATCGAAAGTTGTTATTTTTTTTTAAATGGAATTTCAATAAAACAAGTGCCTCACTAATGGACAATAATTTTCATTATCCTTAAAAAAAAGGTAATCTAAAATGATTTGAGAGCATTAGCGCTCTCTGAAATATACAGTTTATTGATACTATAATTTGGAAAATAAATGACATGCTTAAGCCTGAAAACTTTCAATAATTTTCAACGTGGGATTTTCATAATAAATCAATAAGAAACAATCAAGAACAATTTTCAACCACAATAATGTCTCTATACATACGACCTAAATTGGATGAAATATTGAAATAAGAACATGAAGAAAATGTGGAGAATAAGAAATTATAAATAATCACATGTCATTATACTGCAGTGCTTAAGGAAATCACTTCTTGTACAAATTGTTTCAAATCTACAACCACTTTACGTTCTCATCTCCTGTTACTTTTGTCATCATACACAATATTATTTAAGAGTTCTACAAGTAGAAAGGTTCTTAAATTAGCAGCAGCAGCAGCAGAGGTGGTACTAGCCTTGTAATGGTTCACAGCTCATAATCAAACCTCTTTTTTCTTATTTTAATTTAATTCGTATAACCCTTCTGTTCACCTTTCCCACGTACGGAATCGAGAAAGAAAGTAGCAAAACGAAGTGAAGTGTTGACAGTAAACTTGCACCTTCTCATTTCAAATTACTTTATTCTCCATCTCTCATGTACTTTTTTTTATATTTCGCTACAGATTTATTATTCTTATGTAAGTTGAAACGATAGCACACACATGTAAGAAATTCATTTCTTTTTTTCTCCATCTCTCCTCCTTCTTTTTGTTTCTTTTATTTTTTGTTCTGTGCGCTTTGTTACATTCTTACTTATTTTCCGAGGAAATATATATAAATTTTTTCTCTCTTTGATATTCTTTGATTTTTATGGGTCTATATGGTATATGCTTAACGAGAGAAGCGAAAATAGAAAAAAAAGCCGAGGGGGATGGAGGAGCATGAAGGAAGAAAAAGTGCTGCGTAACGCAAAAACGAAGAAATTCAACAGCAAGAAAAGTTAAAGTACATGATGAAATGTTACTGTAAAAAATATGCTTGCAACGCATTTTCATTTTTATTTTAAACTTTTAAATTGACACGCATTCTAAAGAATTTCTTATGAAATAAGCACTCTGGTTTTAATAGACAAATTTTCGATTTCAAGCATAATAAAGTTTTCGTAGATATTTTTAATATTCAGTCAAAATGATTTTAACTTACCCAACGCTCTTATTTTTCGAGAATGTTATATGAAAAAAAAATCGCAATAAAACAGAGAAAAATGCGAGAAATAGAAAAAGAAAAAATTCGTGTATAACTGAACGAAAAAATGTAATAAATATGTATGAAAATTGAAAAATGTGAAAATAGCAAAATTAGATGAATTCATCTAAAATAGGTCTGATGTCAGGGGTTAAAAAAATATTTCCTTGATGATTATTGTGTAAAAGAATCAAATGTTATATAAAAATCCTTAATTATTTAGTGATAATCAATAATCGTGTCAAAATCACGATTTAAGTATTTTGCTTCATAACATTTCATAACAGTCATTATTATTATGAAAAAGTTTCAAATTGAGTATACCCAAAAATAATGTGACATATCTAGGCTGGGAATTTGCTAAAAATCGCATATTTGATCAATATATTCATGACCTATCAAACTTTTGATGATTGTCGCAATTTTTTTGTTCTCCATTGTCATTTCTATTACTAGACATAAATATATTTAATCTTTTATTTATTCTGAAATTATGCAACTACATGACTTTCCAATTCCATTTCGGCAATCATCAGCACAAGTTTTATGTTCTCTTCAGTCGTAACGACCTTTTATTCTTTCCGATTATGTTAATGCAAACTGACATTTAACATAAAATTTGATATTTAATTAGCATACTTATAATCATGAGAACGCATCGGTTTGATTCAATAATTATGAGAATATACTTTATGGAAAAATTCCGATTCTTTTTTGAAACAAAATTGATGACATTAGTTTCAATTTAGTTCATAGTTTTACTCTACACCGCACACTCAATTGGTGCATTTCTTCCCCTTTGAAGCTTCATCATGATGAATGTTGATGATGAAAGACATCTTACAAATTTAATTTTTCACACTTATTTTTATATTTAAGATGGTGAAATTTAATATATTTGTGACTTCAACAAGGTTTGTAAAACATCAACCGTACGAATATGATGGATTGTGGCAAATGGCTTTATTGTATGTAAATGATATTTTTTTAACTGTGCATTTTTTATACGTTTTATTTTTCAAACCGTCGAAAATATCAAATTGTAAAAATAGAATTCCCAAGTTTTCAATTTACTATTGCTTATAAAAATCGGGTCAAAACCTTCTAAGAAGAACTATTTGTTCTAAATTTTCCTTCATTTTTCACAAATTAATTTAATACAATTTCATTCGCCGTTGTCATTACGCGGAGAATTACAAACGAAGAAATTGTAATAATTTCTTTTATGATGAGGATAATTAAATTTCAGATGATGATGAAAATGAGAGATAGAGAGATGGAGCATGAATGAGGGGAAATGGGGGCAATAGATGGAAAGAAAAAGTAAAAAACTTCTTCTATTGCTGATTTTTTTTTATTCATTTAAGATTCTTTGACTTGCTCCTTACATAAACGAAGAAGAAATTTTAACAACAGTCTGTTGGGGATAAGTGTATGTACGTATGAAAATCCAAAGTGATCGTGATATGACAAAAAAATTTTATTACCATAATTAAATTTCTTTCGTTATATTTTTTGAACGCTGTAATTTGATGTCTTTTGCTTCTGTTAGAGTAAAAACTGAATATTTTCTCATCTTATAGAAAAATGAGCTGAAAATGAAAATATTCATAAGAAATTTTCTGTCATTCGTCTTTTGACGTTGCCTCATGAAATTTTAATGTCAAACAACAAATGATTCTTTTTGACATCACAGTCGCGTCACAGATACAAATAAAAGAAACGAATTTTATTAAAAGTGTAAGAATATCTGTCGGGAGGATACGGTTACTTATTGCTGATCCACAGAGCGTAGAAAATGAGTCGAAATTCGAACGCGAATATAATAATGATAATTAAAAAGGGGATTTTTATCTAAAAAGGAAGGAAAAGCACTCTGATTGTTATTGTTATTCTTACCAAAAGAATAAAGAGAAACGCAGATTCTGTGGCACTTTACATTATTACTTTGAAGGGTTAGACAAAGAGGCTGTAAATAGATAATGGGAATTTTATTAATAGATATAGCTTTCATATCGACAATAAAGTTTTCACAAAATTTCTATTACTTGTTCAATAGCTTGGCTTAA